GAAAAGTTTTAGAATGAATCGTTTAAAAGTGAAAATGACCTAGCTACTGAACTGGTTATGTTTGGGACACACGAGTTTTACACGAAAATGCACATGAAATTGATGACAGTAAGACTGTGTACATGACATTGTGGTAAACTCAATTTATGACAAACGTAGAAATGGCTAGCTAGTTGATTCAAAACTCAAGTATACTGAGTAAATAAGTAAAATTAATGTTATCACTGACTGACAACATGCAACAACATCAAGAGATATAAATATAATAACAACAGGTTTAGGTTTAACTTTAGACTATATCATTATCAGTGTATTATACTTCATGAGGCCTTTAATACATTGATTCTTCTTCGTACACAGGCCCATCTGCCTCTACACACTGCTTCTTATTCTTCATCTTCCTCACATTTTATAATATAAATAGCCTCATTGTTACTTCTATATATAAAGTCATTTAACAAAAATCTTGCCTTGCTAATATTTTGACATTCTTTGTATAGATAGATAAGGGTACAGGTGTGAATTTGGTGTATCTCAATTTTCAAAAACCATTTGACGAGGTGTCCCATAAAAGATTTGTTAAAAGCATTATCTCTGGAGAGGTTGGCTAGTTTGATAGAAAATTGACTGAATGGAAGTATTTGTTGATTGTTAAGTGCAAAGCAACACAATGGGCTGTCTGTACTGTGCCACCATGAGTATCAAAACCCAGTTCTGGCTTACTGCTGAGCCACTGAGGGAGGGAAGGGGAGACAAATGGAATTAAAACAGAGGTTTGTCAGAAACTGAGTTCAGTCAAATTGGATTAATATCACAAGTGGGGCACCTCAAGGCTCAGTAATATAACCTTTGTTCTTTTTGATTAACATTAATGACATAAATGAAGGAATTATCAATAAATTACTTAAATTTGCTAATGATATTAAGGTCTTGAATGCATCTGATGTTGATGTTTACAAAAGAATTTGGATTATTTTGTGAATTTGACAATTAAATGACAGATGGCTTTTAATCATAATAAATACCATATAATGAGATATCATAATTTGAATAAATATAATTTTGATGGAATTAACTTTAACAGTGTTATGGAATAAAACGATCCTGGTGTTCCAGGAGTACTGTGCTCTGCCTTGGGCTCCTTACCTTTGAATGGGCAGTGAATTGTTTGGAAAGGTTCAAAGAAGGGCTACTAGGATGATACCCGGGCTGGAGAGGTTGTCATACAAGGAGAATTGAAAATCTTTGAAACTGTTTTCTTTTGAAAAAAAAAGTGAGGGAATCTTACTGAGGTGTTTAAGATTATTAAAGGAACTGATAGCACTTTTTTTTTTACTTTATCATTTACGATGAGAATGGTAAGACTATGGGACACAATTTCTAGCTTTCAGTAACAGGGTAGGAGTCATATTCAGGCTAAGAAAGTTTTATTTTTCTAACAACAATAATATGGTGGTTGGAATGAGTTAATTTTTTTAAAGATCTAGTGGATGCTGTACATTTTTAAGAAAAGCTTGCTAAGCATTTGAATGATTACAGCTGGCTTCAAGTGTTTTATTTTAAAGTTTAGTAGATGATACAGCCTAAATAGACCAACAGGTCCCTTGTTCAAGTTGTTGTCCTTACTTTATTATACGCTATGTTCTAGTTGATAATTTATTTTTATCAAATCAATTTTCAAAAGAATGGATTGACTTGGCTTCAGTTAAGTAACCGTTTTAAAACTAACGTATCTTAACGAGTCACGTACGCGTCGTACTTTGTGGGAAAGTGGTGGTGGTAGTACTACTTCTAATAATACTAACAGTATTACTGTTACTGTAGTACTAGTAGTAATACTAATAGTAGTACAACATACTGCTAGGCCTAACCACACGTGAAACGAATTTTTAATAGTAACTAAGTTAGTACTGTTAATTATCAACCTTAATTATAGCTATAATATTTTTCGTTTTTGAAATTAAGTAGTAACATGGGTATGCAACAGCAAGCAAAACTAAAACCGTACTATCAGAAGACATAACCTTTACATATTCACAGTCGCTAGTAGTAGTACTACTTCAGTACACTACCTCAGTAACTGGGTTATTCATCACATAATTTTCAATTTTAATTTACTTATTGACATGAGTACTACAAAACGATGCAACTATTTTCAAACCTGCTTGGTAAATAAACTAAAACTAACGTTACGTTACATACACAAACAAATAAAATTACCAGCAAATAAAGCAGAACGTATATTTCAGAAGAAACTAATGTTACGCCTAATATTACAACCAAACGAGGACCTTGGAGTCTTCACTGGTGTTAGAATATTTTAACAAGTCTCTCATATAAGGTCCTGTCTCACCACCTCTCACTATAGTTAAATGCCAACACCTTTAGGCTATCACATAATTTTCTATTTAAGCGTAATTCTCGCCTTATCTCGTACGTGGCAAGATTTTTATTTGGCTAACGCTTCATACAGTTCAAAATAGAATGCTTAACAAGTAATAAATATTATATTTAATTAAACATGAATAATTTTTTGATAAGTTAACAATTTGAGATTATACGTTTTTTTCAACTGCATGCATTTTTATGTTTATTAATAATTCAATATATGATGCATCTTGAACGCCATTATTATTTGTCGTACTTTCACAAATAAAACGCCATGGAACTGTAATAAATTTTCATTGTTGTTGTTATAAAATACTTATTAGAAATGAAAAAAAAAATGTTATTTTATTTGAAAACGTGTCATTTTGTGTGTTCTTTCGAAGCCTTAATATAATTAAATATAATATTTGTGGTGTGCTTGATAAGCATTGACTATCCTTCACAGGTAACGATCCCCCCCTTTTTTTTTTTTATAGATTTTTCCTTTCTGTAACCAGTTCTGATAAAGTAATAATAAAAAACTGTCCTCGCTGTGTAGAATTCAAAAACGAAACCAACAAGGCCGCGGTGTCATGTTCGAAACATTATAAACAGCGAAATAGTATCGTTCAGTTAGTGAAAATTGAGTGCTTTAAAACAAAATCTTAAAGGAAGTGGCGCAAGGCTGAAGAAATTAATGTACATTTTGAATCATTAAGCGAAAAGTACCGAGATGTTCTCTTTCTGCTTCTTGCCTACTTTTAAGAGTCATTGACCTTTACACAGGTAGTTGTCAAGTGCTGGGAACAGGGGGCGTTGAATTTTCATTATTTAATAAATCCAATAAAAGTAAATAACATAGTATTTATTATTTAAAACGATACATTATTTCGTCTCCAAATATATGACAGTGTGTGTTATCTTTGGAATATCTCCTTAGATGATTTATTCTGTTAAACCAAAAACTTAAATTCAGTGAATACAGTACTTCAAAATATCAATGATTTAGAATTTATTTTGAAACCAGTAACATTTATTGATAATGAAATTATTTTATAAAAAATGTTATTAAAGTAATTCCAAACTTATTATGATTTCATTACTAATTTCTAGTGTTATTACTACATAAAGATTTTACATAGTTGTGAATAGTTGTCTCTAATTATGATCTGATAGACCAGTGGGAAGGCAGCTATACAATTTCACTCGCTACCGATTCTTAGGCTTGTCTTATGTGATCGAATATTGGAACTTGACTGTCACTCTTATAGAGCACCCATTGCCCTAAGGTGTAAAGCCTGTTTGCATCAATGGGACACGAACCGTGTACACTACATTAAGGTTCATGAAGTTTTTGTCACTTTTTGATCTGTCATGGTTACATGATTTACGTTATTGTCATTGTATAAATCTACCTTGTCAAATATCCATTTGGTATTCTCAGGTCCACTGGATTCCCATAAGAGTGATCATATAGGTTCCACAGAATAACAGGAGGTTCTACAGAAAATGTATTATGGAGCAGGCCTGAATTCTCTGACTTTGAAGGATGAAAGAGACTAGATAAAATACATGTAAAAATGAAACAATCGTTTTTCTCAACACTCAAAAACAACCCAACTGTGTATTTCACAAAAGATGATGCCTTTACTGGAGAGAGCTCTCTGTGTGTCTTAAGAATTTATCTCTCAAGAAGTAGCTGTAAAATATATTGTGTTGCGTCAGCGAGATCACGTGACTAGTGTC